ACAATGTTTAATTGTACAATGTACATACTGTGGTGTATATACACTGTATAATGTTTAATTGTACAATGTACATACTGTGGTGTATATACACTGTATAATGTTTAATTGTACAATGTACATACTGTGGTGTATATATGCACTGTACAATGTTTAATTATACAATGTACATACTGTGGTGTATATATGCACTGTACAATGTTTAATTATACAATGTACATACTGTGGTGTATATACACTGTACAATGTTTAATTATACAATATACATATTGTGGTGTATGTACACTGTACAATGTTTAATTATACAATGTACATACTGTGGTGTATGTACACTGTACAATGTTTAATTATACAATGTACATACTGTGGTGTATATACACTGTACAATGTTTAATTATACAATGTACATACTAATGTAGAATGTTTAAAAACGATAAAACTATCAATATTCTGACAAACTCACTTTTTTTGATCGAGCCTTGTGAAACAATTTATCATTCAAAACGAAGGACGTTCCAACACGTCTTCTGACTCTTGGTGGCTCTTCACCAGGTGCCAGTGGGATATCAAGAGGGACTTCGCCTGTTAGTTCCTGATATAATTCAACACAAGTCAGTTTTAAGAATAAAAACAATTGTTTTCCAAATATTTTCTAATTTATTTGTTAATTTTCAAAACCGATAATTGTGTACGTGGAGTGGAAATTAAAACAACGGTGCTTGTAACATTACGTTGTGCACGAGACATAGGCGTTTCGGATATAGTAGAATAAGAAACGACACTTAATAAAAAGGATGATAAAAAGGAAAACGTTTCTTTACAGTTATTATAACGTTATTTATACAAGATGTCAGTGTTATAAAGCTAAAACTGGCTCTAAATAACAGTGAAGTTGTGATTAAGAAATACGCCATAATTGCTGGTCTACATGTATTACGTACTAACAGGTGGCGCTGTGTAATTAATAATAACAAGCTTTTTATCACGAAACAAGATTTCCACTTAACAGTAAAAAAATATTTTACAGTGACTAATGTAATGAATCAATAATTACTGCTTCTCTGATGCATATCAGTTTTAGTTCTTCCATTTTGTGTCTTAACGCCTCTTCCAAATCTTCTTTCCGTGCTTTTAAAGCTGCCATTAAGTCATGTTGGTCAGAGTTAGTATGCTCTATCACCCCGTTTAGCCCTAATAGAGAAAGAAGAAACATTTCTTGATTAATAAGGTTACCGAGGTCGTGAAAGATGCTTAACGAACAGCACCTTTGTAAAATGACATCTTAATACAAAGAATTAGAAATGAAAAAATATACTAAGATAGAATGATGTCCATAGTTTTATTTTTTCTCAATTTTACATTAGAAAAAAAATCCTTTTTAAATCATTTAAAAATAAAACAGGATGATATTCTAAATTTTACGCTTTCGCGAAAACATGAAATTGGCTCACTGCTTCCCTTAAAAGTGAGATACATGTTTCAGAAAAAACTGGCTTAACCCTAAAAATGAGATACAAGTTTCAGAAGAACTGGCTTGAGCCTAAAAATGAGATACATGTTTCAGAAGAAGTGGCTTAAGTCTAAAAATGAGATACATGTTTCGGAAGAACTGTCTCAAGTTGTAAAATTCTTATCATTGCTATAAGTGTAGCCACTAGTTTGACCGCCAATTTTGATTTCATTTCTTTAAGTTGCACGCTCAATACTTCTGGGCTGCGCCTTTTTTTTCACACCTAAGGTGTTTAGATATCATGACTTTTTCTCCATACACACCAACAAGCCACAGCAAGTAAGAAAATGAGACACTCGATAGTAACCAACATTAGCTTTAGGATCGCAACCCTATTATTCTGAACAGACCTATACTTTAAAGAACCTACAAGATTATCTAAAATATATGGTGGTAGTTTTCCTCTCTAAAACAATGTTAATAACTTCCTTTATAGCAACGCTATGGAAACTAGATTAACAGTTTCTTGTCATCATCCGCATGCTTTCGGTGCAGCTGTATCAAACATTATTATTTACACTGATTGCTTAAACTAATATCACGAGACGCTAAACGCTCTTTAATTATGAGAATTTCATTAAAAAAATAGCAATTTTGTGCTTAAAAGTTGGCAATGAATAATAACCATCCAACTGTATGATTCTTTTGAAAACTTGAGCTAGAAAGTATTAATCTAGCTTGCTTGGTCTAACCAATACTTAGGTATTTTCTCACCTTATACATTTGTTGCTCTAAATCAGCAATCTTTAATCCGAATGACAAAAAACTAAAAACAGTACATTTTTACTCTTACAAGAAGCTGAAGTAAAAATTTCAAACTGATAGCTCACGTAACTTTTGCGTAGGCGTGCACAAATGTTTGATCAAAAGTGAGCAGTTTTTATTGAATAACTTTGCACATATGGCTTATACTTAGATCAAATTTAACACCTAATTGTAGGTTATAAAGTTCTATCAGTGTACAAAATTTGAAAAAGTACATAAAAGTTAAGA